CTTATCTATTTGATATTATTTTTGCATTTTAACTCTGATATTTGAGTAACTCTGTGTAGAAGAAAGACCAGGTTAATGAGATAAGTAACTGATAGATGATGTCTCTTGGCAGATTTCAGAGTTAGAACACAGATTGGAAGCATAATTTTCTCGTGGGATATACCTAAACTTTGTTTTAAGGGATTTATTCCTTTTAAAGTAGTTATGTGTTACTTAATTTAATTTTACAATAATTGTGTAATAGCCATCGCCAGTTTGGAACAGAGAAAAATAAAAACTTTTGACATTAAGCCCAACATGATTACTAGTTTATTGGTGACTTGAAGAAAGTGTTATTTCAGTGTTTTCCATAACACATGCAATCTCTATGAAAACTTTAGTTATTTATTATTTTCTTTTTATTTTCTTTTTTAAATTTTATTTTATTTTATTGTTGTTAATCACCATACAGTACATTAGTTTTTTTTAATTTTTATTGTTATGTTAATCACCATACATAACATCATTAGTTTTTGATGTAGTGATCCATGATTCATTGTTTTCGTATAACAGCCAGTGCTCCATGCAGTACATGCCCTAACTTTATATACATGTGTTTATTTTTTTATTTTTTATTTTATTTTATTTATTTTTATTTTTAAAGATTTTATTTATTTATTTGACAGAGACAGAGATAGCGAGAGCAGGAACACAAGCAGCGGGAGTGGGGGAGGGAGAAGCAGGCTCCCTGCCTGCCAAGCAGGGAGCCCGCTGCAGGGCTCGATCCCAGGACCCTGGGATCATGACCTGAGCTGAAGGCAGACGCTTAACGACTGAGCCACCTGGGCACCCTATACATGTGTTTATTATAAGGGGAACTATACAGTTTATACAATTGCTTTTTAGTCACAAAAATTTTATCAGAAAAGTAATGCCAATAGCATGTTTCAGTCTAGGACAATAGGTGCATGTTTACCTATGTGGTGCATATACTTTTTAAAAAAATTTTATTATGTTAATCACCATAGGTGGTACATGTACTTTTAAGTATTTATGGAGTGTAAGAGCATAATATTAGCTCTATATAGTAACAGTCATTGTGTGTTTTTTAACCTTTCTAAGATTTCATTTCTGTACAAATGAGTTCTGTGAAATTATTATGGCCAAAATACCAGAGTTTGTCTTTCACTCAATTTATCTACACTTCATAAAAATGCTTAAATATTACTTCATCATCCTTAAATTGGCCTTTCAGTATGTGAAATCTATGAACTAATTCTTGAATATTTATGAAGTAATTCTGATTTTTGCAGGTGTGGCAAGCCCTTAGGAATATTTAGCTTAATTTGGAACAGGATTCTCTATTTTTTACTTGATTTTTCATTTTTAAAAACCAAATTACAGTAAATCCATCTACATATAATATTTTTGTATCTTTCTCTAGTAGTTTGGTTAGACAAGAATCCTCAGAGTTTATGATATCCTGATTGAAGTGCTAAGAGAATTGTTTTATAAGTAATGTATATCATTGTGTATAATTATGTATCCCCTCAGTTAACATTCTGTTTTACAGAATGCTTGGGATCAGCAGTCACAGTTAATAAAGAACTAATGAAGAATACCCTTTCTTGACTTTATTGTTGTCAAGGAAAGTATTTTATAGTTTCTGTTTATTTGTATGAGAGTTATCTGTTTCTGAAAGAACCATTATGAGTTCAATACTTTAAGATACTTTACAGTATGTTCATTGTGGTATGATCATGGTGATATGCCACCAATTGATAGTTGAACCAGACAGAACTTAAATCTTTTATGCTAACATAATCTTAGTCTTAGGTGGTTTAAGTTTCTCCTTCAGCAGATTTGTGCCCATAAAATTATTTGTCTTAAAATGAATAGAGCCCATGTTTGGCTGATAATGAATCCCATAGGATGTTCTCTTACCTTGTTTCTTAAGGTAGGGTCTGGGGATCAGCAATATCAGCATTGCTGGAGAGGTTGTTAAATGGAGAGTCTTGACCAATGCCAGATTACTTAATCAGAATCTGCATTTAACAGATTCACAGATGATTTGTGTATACATTAAAGTTTGAGAAGGCCTCCTGTAGAAGACATAAGACTTGGCATCTGGACAAGGAACAGACACTTCTGTATTTGAGATTGCAAGGGTATAAAGATTTAGGAATTATTTCTTAGAATAATGAAACAAATGTTCCCCCTTTAAAGTACATTTCTCTTTAGGATTATCCTTTTTTTTTCCCTGGAATAAAATGTGTCTAATGCAGTTCTTTACTTTTATACTTTCATCTTACCTACTGAAGAAGATAAACTTTACTTCTTCCATACCAAATGAGCAAACCTAGTTATTGTTAAGTCTTCCCTAAGGTAGTGGCATCCTCTGGATTTGCATGAAACTGAATCTTGAGAAAGGAGATGGAAAACTGAGGCCCCGATGTTAGAATGGCCTTGCATGTATCATCACTTATTTTTCTTGTTTTTGTGATGCCAGGGATTCAGACTTACTTTATTTCCCCCTAACTGAAGACTAAGTATGCCCACATGTCTGCTGTGTGCAAAATCATACAGTGGATCAGACCTTTCCTCAGAGAGTTTACAGTCAGGTTAGGGAACTGTTCTTGAAAGTCAGGCAGTCTACCACCTGCAGAGCTGTGGTATTCTGGGATATGGCCTAGACTTCCCTGGCTTGTTTAAAAGGGAAATAAAGCACTTATTTCAGGCAGCTACACGTTTTCTATTAAAGTAAGTAATGTCCTAGTGTATCAGTATATTTAAGGGGAGTTAGAATCTAAAGCAAAAACCAAAGAAATGTAAATGTCTAGATGGACCTTCTCCTAACAGACTTCATGTAATATTTTTTGAGGCATACTCTACCTCTGGTTTTTTCAATTTACTTGAAGTAAAAATCTTTTCCTTTCATCGTGTCTCCACTATTTCAGAACTCCCTCCAATGTTGTTCAACTTCTAAGGTGGCCCTAGGAACTCACTGACTTTTCTGGGGATTGCCTGAGTGTGTCATTTAAAAAACTTTTTAGCCAGGGATCCCTCAGTACAAATGAAGTCTTGCTCAGTAGTATGGGCAATAAACTACACAGGAGGAGTGGGTCTTGTTGAGTCTGGGGTTGTGCCTGGCTCTTTTATGCATTCTGGGGGGTGGGGGTGAGGGTGAGGGTGAGAATCTTGGGTTCTGGGGCACAGTTTAAAAACCAGTACTCAACACCCAAAAAACAAATAAGTCAAAAAATGAGCAGAAGACATGAACAGACACTTCTCCAAAGAAGACATACAAATGGCTAACAGACACATGAAAAAATGTTCATCATCATTAGCCATCAGGGAAATTCAAATCAAAACCACATTGAGATACCACCTTACACCAATTAGAATGGCAAAAATTGACAAGGCAAGAAACAACAAATGTTGGAGACGTTGTGGAGAAACGGGAACCCTCTTACACTGTTGGTGGGAATGCAAGTTGGTACAGCCACTTTGGAAAACAGTGTGGAGGTTCCTCAAAAAGTTAAAAATAGAGCTACCCTATGACCCAGCAATTGCACTCCTGGGTATTTACCCCCAAAGACACAGATGTAGTGAAAAGAAGGGCCTATGCACCCCAGTGTTCATAGCAGCAATGTCTGCAACAGCCAAACTGTGGAAAGAGCCAAGATGCCCTTCAGCAGATGAATGGATAAAGAAGATGTGGTCCATATATACAATGGAATATTACTCAGCCATCAGAAAGGATGAATACCCAACTTTTGCATCAAAAGTTGGACTGGAAGAGATTATGCTGAGTGAAATAAGTCAAGCAGAGAAAGTCAATTATCATATGGTTTCACTTATTTGTGGAACATAAGGAATAGCTTGGAGGACAATAGGAGAAGGAAGGGATAAATGAAGGGAGGGAAATCCGAGGGAGAGATGAGCCATTGAGAGACTATGGACTCTGAGAAACAAACTGAGGATTTTAGGGAGGGGCGGGGGATGGGTTAGTCTGGTGATAGATACTAAGGAGGGCATATACTGCATGGGGCAGTGGGTATTATATGAAAACAATGAATTGTGGATCACTACATCAAAAACTAATGATGTATGGTGACTAACATAACATAATAAAATAAAATTAAAAAAAAAATCAGTACTCTAGAGTGAGAACACTGCAATGACTTCTGTTAACTTAAAGACCTGCAGTAGCCTCCCTTGTTAATATACACAAGGAGATATTTTTTTATGAAACTTTTTTCCTGTTTCCTTTAATTCTGATTTTTATCCAGGATTATAAGGTTTGATTGTCTTGCACAGGTGACCCAGAAATCTTTGAGGTAGGAGACAGCTGCTTATAGTCAATACATGTGAAAAGCCTTAAGTTTGTGGGACTTGGGACAAGACACAGACATGCATAGATGCCTCCCAGGAATGTAGAGTTTTCTTTTATATAGTTGGCAAGCATATTATTAATACAGCAGAGAAAGGAGGTGGCCATCAATTTCTCACAAGCAAGGAATTGTAAAAGAAAATTATAGCATAGTATACTTCAAGATTGTGATGGCCATTCTCTTTATTTATTGTGCTGAATATATTACTTTTAGAAATTTGTATATAATATTTTTAAAAATACTAATAATCACATTTATTGGCTCACTTATGCCATAGATTTTTTCCTTTTACAGATTTTCAATCATGAACTTAAAACTGGAGATTAAGGGGACACTGTGATACACTATTTTATATTAGTTGGTGTTTTTTCTTTCTCCCTTAGGCATGCTAGGCTTATTATTAGAGAAGAGCAATAAGACACCTTTTGCTCAGGATTTTTCAGTAGAAAATACATTTTGACTTGAACAGGGTTTTAGTGGCAACTTGATAATAGATAATTTTAGGAGTTTGCTGAATTAGTATGATTTATGAATTATGAATTATGTATGTTTGAGAAGTGCTATGTGGTTATATCGAATTGTGACACCCTGTGCTCAGTGAGTGCTCATGCCCTGTTTGCTCTCCAGGAGAATGACTCAGGCACTTTGGACACAGTGGGCGCTGTAGTGGTGGACCACGAAGGGAACGTTGCTGCTGCTGTCTCTAGTGGAGGCTTGGCCTTGAAACATCCAGGGAGAGTTGGACAGGTAAGTAATTATGGGGTTTTTAAACTCTCTTTTCAATTTAAAACGGAATTTTCTAGCTCACCATTTTTTTAAGCCAGCAAAGCATTTTTTCTTTTGAAAAACAAAATTTCTGTGATTTTTTTTTTAACATTGATGTAGTACAAATCAGCAAGTACCTTTTCCAGATTCTAAAAAACCTCTCTCATAGTAATAGAGTTCTTATTGATCTTTAAAATCAGTAATACTATGTTTTGTTACTTCCAACAGGCTGAGTATCGGGTATTTAGTAGACATTAAAAAAAATATGAGTTGATCTTCATTTTCTTTCTTTGCAAATGTCATTCTCTTTAGGAGTAAACACTACCTGACTATATTGTTGTTTGCTTTTTAAGTGGGAAATGATTTTAGAGTTACATTGTGTATTTCCTCCATTCAAGGAATAGTAAAATTTTGATGCTCTAAATCCCTCTTCTGGTTAAGCATTTTAGCTATTTTATAGACTAACCAGTATTTCAGGTCACCAATAATACATGATACCATGCAAGAAATCTAATTTATGTGTAACTGGCATATTCCCAATTCACTTGCTCATCTTCACCACTCCTCCTTCCCCCATCTCCAAACTTTAGTTTTGTACTGAGAATATTTCACAGTCCATTTGATCTAGTAAGCTTTCTGAGTATAAACCAATTTGGTACATTACTTATGGGATTAATAAATATTTGTTGAGTGAACTAATGATTCCTGGAGTAGGTAAAGTAGTTGCAAGGGTTGTGCTTAAGCTGAGTACTTAGATCTCGTGTTACATGCAGAGCACTGCTTGGCGTATTTTGTATGCTTTGTCCCTCACATTTGGAAAAAAGTGGGTATCACAGTTGCTTTGGACATAGTGGTTAATGAATGCTTGGAGCAGAGTGATCTGATTCATGGAGGACATCTTTGCAAAGCTCCAAGTGATATTCCCTGATCTGCCCTTTATAGTGTATAAGCCTCTTACAATGCCATGGGGGGATGGGGTAGGGAAGAATAATTTTGTGCTACTCTTTGCCTGCCATACAGGGGGATTTATGGGGAATGATTACTCAACATGTGTACAATGCTTTGAAGTCATTATAAAAAGCCTTTGTCTGGTCATGGTGTTTTTCCACATTATAAAGCCCTGTGTATTTGTCAAGTTTGGAATAAGAACCAAGCTTGGCATATCAGATTTGGATGCCTTGGTGGAGGAGAGAGAAAAACCAGCATAGCCGCCTTCATTGCCTTGCAATTCCCATGACTTTCTCACTGTTTTTTTTTGTTTATTTTGGTTAGTAAAATAGCAACAAGAGAACCAAGGATAGTTCTGGACTATGTTAGCAGGATATTACGTTGAACAATCTTGAAGCCATTCCACATGGGACTGTTCTGGAAAAAGAAATACTTCTATAAAACTTAAACATATTGATTTTGCCCCTCTTAGCTAGTTTATGAAGACACAGTTTGTGAGAGATAAAATCAGGAAAGGGCATGGTGGATAGGAGTAAAGGTACTTACCAGGAAAATGCATTTGCTTAATTGGATTATATTGCTTAGATAGAGGAGATATAATGAGCCTAGAAAAATGAAAGCATCAGTTGACAGTAAGAAACCATTCTTCTTGATGATCAAGAGGGAAGGAAACAAAATATACAAAGTATTGAAAATGATGACTTTTTAAATGACTTTTTAAAAAATATGCTAAAATTAGAAGCTTTTATTTTTTCTTTAATTTTTTATTGTTATGTTAATCACCATTCATTACATCATTAGTTCTTGATGTAGTGTTCCACGAGTCATTGTTTATGTATAACACCCAGTGCTCCACGCAGAACGTGCCCTCTTTAATATCTATCACCAGGCTAACCCATCCCCCCACCCCCTCCCCTCTAGAAGCCTCAGTTTGTTTTTCAGAGTCCATCATCTCTCATGGTTTGTCTCCCCCTCCGATTTCCCCCCCTTCTAAAATTAGATGCTTTTAAATACATTTTAAATGCACAAGTGAAATGTTAAAAAGTCTTAGCATATTACCCTGCTCTAGACATATAATAACAACTGTTCAGATGGTGAAGTGGCATTTGAATTAGAATTTATTTTCTTGGCTTACCAACAATAGTTAGAATTTACAACTGGGACACGAGAAAGGAATTATTACATTCCACTCTCCCTCTACCTACAACTCAGCCCCACATAAATACACAGTTGAGTTTAGTGGTTAAGAGTGTGAACTTTGGATTCAGGTGGACCTTTAGTCTAATCTCACCTCTCCCTTACTGTAAACAAGTTGTTCAATGTCTTTAAGCTCCACTTTCCACAACTGTAAAATGGGTATAAATGGTTACCTTAGAAGATTAAATGATGTAGTATATTTAAATTGCTTATCACAGTCCCTCATAATATAGCTATATTATTAGCTATAACTACTGTTTATTAATCTCTTGCTATGTGCAGCAAGTGTGTTCATTCATGTGATCCTACAGCAGCATTATGAGGTGGGGGTTTTTGTTATGCTCATTTTATAAAGGAAAACAAGTCCCAAAGAAGATTAAATAATGATAATAATAATATTTATATGATCTATTTTTAATGAATGTTAATACCTTTGTTAAATGTTAATGAAGTTTTACTACTGAAAAGAAGGAAGCTTATTTTATTTTTGTTTTTTAAGACCTGCTTAAGGTTGTTATTTTTTTAAAAAGATTTATTTATTTATTTTAGAGAGAACAGGAGGAGGGGCAGAGGGAGAGAGAGAGAGAAGCAGACTCCTGGCTGAGCACAGAGCCTGACGGGGGGCTCTATCTCACTGTCCTGAGATCATGACCTGAGCCAAAATCAAGAGTCAGACGCTTAACTGCGCTACCTAGGCACCCCAAGCTTGTTATGTTTTATCCAAAGAAATGATAAGAGAGGGACATTCTCTGAGTCTTTCTTTTACCTGACCTATCACTGTCTGAGCTCAACTGATTTCAGAAGATTAAGAAGGGAGACAACTTTAGATCATGAAATTGAGGAGAAGTAGTATAAGGCGAATTTGCTTAGAGAGAAGAAACAAAGTAAGTGTTCTTTCTTTTCTAAAAAAAAAGAAAAAAAAATGACCTCCTTTAGGTTTCTTAGAGGTGTCCTTGTGGCCCTATTTGCTATTTTTGGGTGCAGGCTCCTGGTCAAGATAATTGTGGGGAATGGAAAGGATAGTGGACTAATGTCCAGGGTTTTCAGTGAAGGAAGAATAGGCCCTTCCCCTCAGGTTGCGTGTTCTCTGAGGCTTTGGCTCACCTAGCACCTGTCCCAGATAGTACCAGTTGAATGGCATATCCCACAAGTTTGCCAGTTTGGTCCTGAAATCCATGTGCTGAATCCCTTCTGTAGGGCTTTCAGTTCCCACTCTTACCCAACAGTCTTGTATAATTTAGAAGTATAGTGTTTTCAAAGGCAATAATAGATTTTATGCTGTTTGCCGTATTGGGAATGTTGTACTGAGTTCTTGGTTCTACTTATAAGAAAGCTATTGTCAGTGACAACTGGGGATGGCAACTGTGGGTCACATGAGCATGGGAGACTTCATTTCCAATTATCTTGAACTTTGGATTATTTCTCAAGGAGGGTGATTAGGGAAGTAGGGTGTGTGTGTGCATCTCAAAGTCTTGAAGAACAGTTCACAAATCTAGGATTATCTGAGTGAGAAAAGAGTAATCAGGGCACTTGGATAACTGTTTTAAAAAATTTAGAGAACTTCAGCAGGGAGGGTAAAGTAATTCCAGAGAGTAGAACCAGGATTAGTGGGTGGAAGTTATGATAAAGCAGATGTTCGTTAAAAAAATCTAAGGAAGAACTTTTAGCCAAAGGCAAGTGTCCAAAAGGGGAATATGTTCCCTCATGAGGTATCGAGGTTCTTGGTATCAGAAGTGCCTGGGATATTTCATGGAAATTCCTGCTCTGGGTGGAATATTGAAGCAAATGAGTTCTGAAGTCCTTATAAAAAAGAATGGAATATTGTAGAAAACTGGTCTGTCTGGTCATCATTCCCAGTCTTAACTTCTCCCCCAGTCCTTAAAAGTGACCTCCTAGAAAAGAACAGTTACTATTTTATGGGAATATCTTTTTCCTTCATCAGTCAGAAGTCATACTGAATACTTAGTGTATTGTAGTTTGTCGTCTTCTTCTTCTTCTTCTTCTTCTTCTTCCTTCTTCCTTCTTCCTTCTTCCTTCTTCTTCCTTCTTCCTTCTTCCTTCTTCCTTCTTCCTTCTTCCTTCT